ATATAACTATTTTGTGTTTGCCAGCACACTGTTCGCATTTGCTTCAGTCACTTGATGTAGGAGTCTTTCGCCAAGTTAAACATGTATGGCGTGAAATTCTGGCCAATTGGTATACCGAGTCAAGGCTGAAGGTGGTTGGGAAATCTGTTTTTCCATCTTTATTAAAAAAACTTTATGATACCTCCTTTAAGCCAGCTCATTTAGTACAATCCTTTGCCAAAACTGGAATTTTTCCCTTTGATCCATCTGCTATAGCATCTGACAAGTTAAATCCTTCTGAAATCTATGAACACCCTTTTTCTCAGAAAACAAATAACTATAATAATAACGTCCCTCAAAACATCGTTTTAGACACCAATGTCAATGATCAGAACGATACTTGTGAAAATTTTTCTATTGAATCAACAAATAAATACAATTCACAAAAAACTATAATATCAGTAGGAAAAGACTTAAACAATGAAAAAATAAATCAACTATCAATATCAAATGTAGATTGTTCTACTGGAAATAAAATCATTAGAGAAATAGTGAAAGAACAGTTAATGGCCACAAAGGGTGATGGTCGTTCATACAACAAACGACCTACAAAAAAAATAAAAAGACACTATGGAGGTGAGTGTCTTACATCAGAAGATGCATTTAAAAGATTAAATGATGAAGAAAACGAATGCTTTAAAAGAAAGATCAAGCAGCAAGGCAAAATACAAAATAAAAAAACTAATTTATTAGAAATAACAAACACAAAAGAGTTAAAGATGAAGTAGTTCACTTTACCCCAATGTGGGGGTAAAGTGAACTAGTGGACATGTTTTTTTTGAATATATATTTAATATTGTAAAAGTAGCTTTTAATCTTAGTATTTTGTTTTATATTGTACCTAATACTTTAAATGGTATAAATTTTGAAAACTGCAAAATGTTTTGGCTTTTATTTTGAAAATATTTCCTTTAAATATCAAAAACAGTTCACTTTACCCCAGTTTACCCTATATTATTTAAAAAAATTGAAATAAAAAGCATTTATGGTTTCAGAGAAATCTCGACTTTAAAGTTAACCAAGTTTTTCCGTTTCCACACGATAGTAATTTTCTGAACAATTATAGACGTAAATGTTTTAACATCCCTTTTCCGCCGTTGCTGTTTATTTAATATAACAATATAAACGTTATAACTTTTAAGCGTTTTCACATTTTATAATAAAATTTAAACTTTGTCGATGATTTTTTATCTAGAAGGAAATTTTTTTACTTTTTTTGCTTTTATTTTTAAGTAAGACATATAATTTCATTATAGTTACATAAAATTTGTTTTGCATTATAATGTAATTTTAAAAAGCAAATAACTTTTACATGTAACACATGATTGGGGCAATTTTGCTCTTGTTTAACACGTGTGTTTTGAGGTTTCAAATTCAAATTTAAATGTCGCATGCCTTTACCAGTGATTTAGAATTCCTCACGAAAATTTTTATAATCAATGTATTAAACGGTAATTTTGGTAAATAGTAATAGTTAATTTAAAGAATGGAAACCATTCTCGGCACCCGTTATTCTTTTTGTTTTAGAAGGTTTTAAACACGTTTAATGTTGCCACGTTTTAAATATTTCAAACACAGATGAAGCAAGTAAATATTCAGCAGACAAAACACTGGTCTTAATAATTGGTGTTAGTTTAACAAATGCTTCCTACCATATGGTTAGAGCCTCAGAGAAAGAATATCTATCCCACTTACAATGATGTCAGGGATGCAAAGTTGAAATATTACTTATCATATATAAGAGTGGAGGACTATTCAGCTTCAGTGCCATTAAAAGATTTAACAATTTAAAGATTTAGCTTCATAATTTGCCTAAATTGGTCTAAATGTTAACGATAGCTACCAGCTCCTAGTAATCGTGTATAATGAAATATCAATTTATACATCCCATCAACAACTATTTCCTACACTGAAAAACAGGAGCAATGGGCAACACCAGATCTTATTAAGGTGGTCAAAGCTAAACGCGCCTCTTGAACCGAATACATAAATGTAGGTCGCAATGCGCACTAATTTCTCAAAGAACCACATTGCACCGCATGCAAAAACATTACTAAAATGGTAAAATCTGCCAGGCTTAATAACAAAGTAAAACTCGCCAGTGAGTGCAAAAACAACCCTAACTGTACTGAAGCTATTTGTGTTGTAGACCCAGCAAGTTTTTTTTATCAGTATAGTACAAAAGTGCTCTTACCACCTTGATGAAAGAAAATCAACCGGCTACGATGGTTTAGATCCACGGGTCCTTGTAAATATGCAGCTAACTTCGCCAAACTATTTTCACTTATCTATAAGTGCTCGTTCGCAACTGGTGTAGTCCCCGACTTGTGGAGAAAATTAAATGTAACACCTATTTTTAAAAAGTGGAGTAAAATAAATGCATCAAACTATCTTGCTCACATCCATTTCATGCAAAATAATAAAAAGTATTCTTAAAACAAGTATAGTGGAACACTGTGTTGCTAATGACTTAATTACTCCAAAGCAACATGGCTTTGTTTATTGCAAGGGTTACGTCTCAAATTTGCTAGAAACTCGGGATATCATGATAGAAACGATTTATCGCAGCCATGCAGTAGACGTCATATACACAATATAGACTTTGCAAAGGCGTTTAACAAAGTTCCACACAAACGCCTTCTTCATAAACTAAAAACCTACGGTATTCAAGGCACGCTTTTAGACTGGATCTCAGCTTGATTACACGACTAAAGTCAACGAGTAGTCATCAACGGCCTCACATCTGAATGGTAAGTGGTCACTAGTGGCGTGCGTCAAGACTCGGTCTTGGGCCCATTGCTCTTCGCAATCTTCATTAATGACCTGCCGGACAGAATTAGTCATCATATGAAACTGTATGCTGACGACAATAAAATTATTGGCATAATTAAAAACGAGTCGGATAGCATTACTCTTTAACCCAACATTGACAAAGCAGTGGAATGGTCGCATATTTGGCTTATGCATTTCAACATTGAGAAACGCGTTACCCACTCAAAAAGACTGTAGTCGAACGAGACCTAGGTGTGATGGTCTCCAAAGACCTTAAAGTCAGACCACAAGTAGAATCAACTGCATCAATTGCAAATAGAATGCTAAGGCGACTCAAAAAACATTTCGGAGTCGCAGTTTTTATTTATGGCGCACATTGCATCTTGTTTACATTCGCCCCCACCTTGTTCCAGCCGGATCGCCGCATTTAAAGTCCGACATTGCTATCTTCGAACAAGTCCCACATCGAGTAACAAAAACAATATCATCTATTAAACAACTGTCCTAAAATCAACTCCAATAGCTCGGACTAACAACAATTAAAGAACGCCGTAAAAAAGCAGACCTAATCAAACAATTTAAAATCACGCGTCAACTCGAACTTGTCAGTTTTTTTGTTCCACAAAAACTTTCAAACAGTAAAGCCAAGTGTATTTTGAGAGGGCATGATCAAAAACTAGAACGCTAGCTTGTACAAAATTGTGAAGAACGACAAAACCTTTTTTCAAACAGAGTTGTTGTCCCATGGAATGCGCTTTTCTAAGCAGTAATGAATGCTCCATCTATCTATCCTTTCAAAAACAGTATAACAAAGTAACTTTTAGAGACACAATTACTGCTTTGTCTGTAGCTTCTGTGTTTTTTATTTTCGTCAGCATAGAGGGGCCTGGTGTAGCATCTCTTCATCAAAATTTAAACAGATTTATTGTTTTTTTTTTGTTGTTTTTTTATCACTGAATAATAATAATAAAATAATAATTATGTTGATAACATTATCTTCAGTATATGAAATAAATTGCTTAAAATTGAAGGATTTTTTTTTCGACGCTGTTAGACTATATATGTCCATTTAACCATCGTATTACTTGACTTTTTTTCATCGTATTATAATACTTTTTCAAGTATTTATGTATGGGCATGACATAATTCAAAGCCTTACATTACCCATAAAACTTATGTCAGATAAAGCTGAAGAGGATAGAAATAAAGACTTTAAATCTTATCTCAAAAATTTTATCCGAAAAATATCCAAAAGAGCAACAAATACTGATCTGATCAATAGACTCCTAGTTTATAACATCACACGGAACAGATCTTAAAATATTTCCTTCAGATGTTTTGCAATCACTTAAACAATCTTCAAACGATATTATTGTTATATAAATTTTTGATGTAGTTTAAAATTGACAATGTTTTCATGCACTGTTTTTTGTTTTTATTATGGCTAAAACATTAATTACTTAAATATTTAATAGTTAATAAAAATAAGTGGGTCAAAAATCCGATAAAATTTATTCAAAAACCAATTTACTCCTTTGTAACTAAGGAAATTATCTGGTAACTAAGCAATATAATTATCCATAGTAACTAAATAAAAAAATTGTCATACAAAATTTAGTGAATTTAGCACTCATAAAATATCTGCAAATACCACAAATAGGTTGTTGCTAAGCAACATAAAGATATGCATTGCAACAAAACAAAACAAAAAATAACACCTTTATAAGAAGCGCAGACATATAAGAGTACTCATGCATCTTTTCAGTGAATATAGTCCCTATATTAATTTATTTCTGAGTTTTGTCCATTTTGAGATATGTATGTGAAATGCTTAAGCGATTGATTTTCTGGCAACTTTACGGTATCACATAAAACTTTCAATTGTACTTTTTTAAATTCAATAAATGAATAAATTTTCTTTTGACGGCCAGAAAAAGGGCGAGTAACAATTGTCTTTTTCATTACTAATTTTTATTTTTTATTTATCTCAATATTGTACAAACAAGAATAAAAATGTTGTAACTGTTTGGATATTTAACCATTATTTGTTTGATTACAACAATATGTTTTTTGAAACCATAAACATATTTTTATAGTATTGTTTGCACCTTATTAACTAATAATAAAACAACAAAAATAAATAAAATGAAATTGATATGCGCAACGGATTGTTCTGTTTTTATTAAAAGCTTGCGGACGTAGAGGATTATCGGTGAAAACATCTCTGATTGTTTTTATTTGTAAAAATGGCGTATACACTTGCAGCTGATGGAAGCCATAATTCTGAACATGATTCAGAGTCTGATGATGACGAAGTCGTTGAAACAAGTCCCTGTGGAAGGTGGGAAAAATACAAAAAACAGGTATTCTATACTGAAATATTTTTTATTTAAGTTATATAATCGCTGTGTACAGTTTTATGTAAGGTCTTTGGTATCTAGTAATTTTTACACTGCATGCACTTTACAATAATGAAAATATGTTAAAATTTAATAAGTTTTATTTATATCTGACTGAAAAAAAGGCACTTTCTCTATAGAAACTTTACTTCTTAAATATATTTTTATGTAACTAAAAATAATTTAAGAAATTAAGTGACTTTTGGAAAAACGCTCTTCAGTAATTAGTCTGATCGCTATTTTATTTTTTTATAACAGAACTTTTTACAATCCAGCTTTCTAGAAAAGTTCTAGGCTTGATTAGCAATATACAGTAAATACCCTAATTTTCATCTTTTATATGAGTATATTCGTATTTTCAAAACAGGATGAGAATGAATAGCTAATTTAAGGTAACTTTGAATACTACATAATGCTTTTAGTTCTTAGATTATAAATAGACTAACATGTTATAAAGGGGAAAAATACTTTGAAAGATCAAACAGATAACAAAACAAATTACAGTGTTTATTATATTTAATACATTTAAATATAAAAATGTAAATATAAAAAGTTTATTTTAGTATGTAGTAGAATCTTTTATTTCATGTGAAAAAAATTACATTCTTAGTTTGAAACCTAGTTTTTTTTAACACAATGTATACTACATTTACAAAGTCATGTTGCATAAAACAGGACATCAGCCATTACTATCTTCAAAGTCTTTAAATAGCTCATACATGCTGCATATTAAGTCAATATTTTTAAAATCAAGCTTATAATAATCATTTTTTTCATAAATGAGGCCACAACTCTGAAGGTTATAAGGTTTGCTGCATTTATCACATTGAATCCAAACATCGTTGCTTAAACCAATTTTTTGTTACAAAGCGCACAGTATCTATCAAAATATTTATTGTAAAGCTCTGTTGAATGTAATGCCATTGAATCATCTAAACAATAATTCCTTTCTTCTAATTCAACCATTAGACTACATATTTTATTTATTAGTCTCTTTGATACGACTTTCTATTCTCCAAATAATACTTCTCCATGACTGTTTTAATTTTCTAAATACAGCAACACCTAGTAGTTGACAGAGTTGGATTGCATTTGGGGACATTGTTATAAATTTGATGCCATGTTAAACTGTGGCTTTAATATCTTCAGGAGAAAAAGAATCAAGTTTATTACCAATGAATAATGTTTCAAAGTAGCAACAGCCAAGAATACCTCCATGAACTATCTGGTAAATGTTCTACCATTAACTCACCCATTAGGGCTTATATCATATGCAGTTCTAGGTGGTCCACCTTGAACCAACCCTGGTAAAGATTCTTTGCTCTATAAACAACCATAGACATCAAAAGTTCTCTGACAGCATTACTAGAAATCATTATAAAAACTAGAAAAACATTAAACAAAAAACTAGTTGACTGCTTTTAATGTTTTCAACATGGTGTCCATGGCCTCAGCTAACAACAGCTTTGGGCCCTGGATTATCTGCTTTATTGGTCCCATCGTAGTTATAGATGTTTTCTGTAGGTATATTCTTTATCTCTTGGTATAAATTTGTGTATTAATTTATGTTATTGTAAAGATGTAACTGGTTTGTCTTAAATTTGGAGCATGTTTCTCCACATAAATAAACTGATCATAGATAGCTCAAAAAAAGTATCAAACCGATGCTGCTCAAATGAACATAAATATTCATCTTTTCCTCTTGTGCACTCAGTAAAGGAATAAGAATACTACGATAATGTCAATGAACTTCTTGACAAAATTAGTTATTTTGCTTGGACTGCAAGAGGGATACACAAAGGAATAAAATAATTTAACCCAATAGTTTAAACTTTCTGTTCACCTTTATTTCTTTATTATTTGAAGGTAAAAAGTTGATTAAAAGTTGTATGACTTTATAAAAGGCATTTCTTTGAAGAAATTATTTAGTGGTGGATGTACTTTTGTTACGCTAAGAAAAATTATTTTATTTAAAGTTTTAAGTTGCAAATACTAGACTTTGTAAATATTTATTGAAAAATGTCCAAAATATTTTTAGCATAAGCAACTATATTTTAATAATTTTAATTTTAATAATTATTAAATGGTTAAAATTCTTAAAAATTTTTAAAATAATAATTACAAATAGTATTTATTACACTTACATTTATTATACTTTTTACTTACTAAATGCTTATTAACATACTCTATTAAGTCTTTTAGTTAAAAAAAATGTTTTTATAAAACTTTTTATAAAACTTTTTTTTAAAGACGGTTTGTGCGGCAATGGCGCAGTGCTTAGAGCGCTTGCTTTATAAGCAGAAGATCCAGATTCGAAACTAGCTTTGGACATATTTTGCCTCACGGTAAGGTAGGAAACGTGAACTTTCTCGTTAAATGCATTTCTGCAGTGCTCTATGACAAGACCGTTAGGACTTTTTTGGGCACCTAAAATAACAAATAAAAAAAGACCTATTGTTTTCTGAATTAAGATCACATAATTGATATTAAAAGATAATATATGTATATAACGTAATATATAATGTAAAACTGCTGAACACATATGAAAATTTCCATTTCGTACTTAAAATGCGAGCTGCATAATGCTTCTCAAGCCTTTCCAGGATACGCATGTGGTTTTTCGTCTTGTATGTCCATGCATAAGTTTTTAGTTTTAGACAACTTGGTAATGGCTGTTTGTATGTTTTATGATATTAGGCATTTCAATACTTTGCGGAAAAAACTAAGTTTCAAAAACAAAAAAACAAAACTAACAAAATAGGAAATTAAAAAAAAATTTATGACAAAAAGCTGAACCCTTCTACTGATAAAAAAAACAATACTTAAAAACTATCTTTTGAAACGTTTTGTTAAAGTTACTCAAAATGCTTTTCCTAATTACTTCTAATAATTGTTTAACGAATGAACAAATTTTATTTAAATTACTAAAAAGTTTTATATATATTACTTTTGAATTGTATAAACATTTATTTTTTCCAAAAAGTTGTAAAAAAAAAAAATTGTTTAAAAAAACACCCTAGTCTATTTAAAACAGTAATTTTTAATCATTTTATGCTCTGATTAGTTATTCAAGTTGAAAAAAATTTAAACATTTTTTTGTAAAAATAGAAATAAAAAAAAATTAAGAAATTAAATCATTCTTTTGCAACGGAAGATTTAATTCAACTTATTCATAATTTAAAGTAACTTAAAATTTCTTTCAAAAAGATTTTTAGAAAGACATGGAAAAATAGTTTCAAAAAAATTATAAAATTTAAATTTATCATAAAACATGCCTACATAAAAAATTTAAATTTAAAAAATTTAAAATGTGTTAATTAACATTTGTTACTTAACACTAAATATGTTTATTTTAAACAATCACTATAATTACTTTTTTATTTTATTTAAAGCCTTCGCATAAAATAAAAACTTTAGAAAAGATCAACAAATAAAAATTATTTATAGCGTAGCAATTTTTAAAATTGAATTTAAAATGTTATAACATCAAAACTGCCGTAGTCAAATTGTAAAGAAAAGTCAGTTACAGCATATGATCGCACGTCATTCTTGTTCAAGCCTGCTATATGAATACAACTATGTAATGCATGCGTATATGTTCATATGTTAGTTTATTTATGTAGGGTAGATTAGGGTAATATGAGCATACTATAATATTTCTAAGAAAAAATGCTTTTTTATTTTTTAAATCGACATTATGTGGTGGTTACAGAAATCAGTATAATTAGCGTAAATTTAAACGCAGAAAATAGCGGCTCTCATTTAATTAAATTGCTGTTCAATTTTTTACGTTGTTAAATTATTAACATCACGCATTTTGATGCGAAATTTTGATGCTAAAATAATAAAATTTAATTTTTCATAAGGAAAAATATGTTTGCTAGAAATCCGTTCCATTTTTGTTTGAAAAACAATGCATAGAAAAATTTAGTTTTAACTTTATTTAAACATACTTTTTTTGCGTAATTATGAGCATGCTCAAATTACCCAGTGCTTTTCATAGAAATTGCCTAGTTTAAAGACCTAAAATTGTAGTGGTTTTAATGCTTTTCAAATAAATGCAAAACATAATAAAAATTTTAATATTTTTACAATACTAAATATTTTTCTGTAATTTAAATTGAAAAATTTCTGATTTTATGGTTATTGTTTTTCTTTTAAATATTGCTGCTCATATATTTACTTTGAAACAATTTTTTTTTTTTTTTTTTTTTTTTTTGTATATAAATAGTTATTGCTGTTGTATGAATGATACACATCTCTTCACATTCAGATTTCTTATACCATTTAAGGCTCTTAGAGTATTTTCTAAGTAAGGCCCACACACACACACACACACACACACACACACACACACACACACACACACACACACACACACACACACACACACACACACACACACACACACACATATATATATAGTTTTTAAGCTTCAATTATGCAATGGCGTCTACACATTTTTCACATAGCCTTAATTGTTTTATATTACCTTTTTATTTCTGTACATTTTTACTCCCCAATTTTTTAGTACTTTGTAATTTTGGATATCTGATGCTTTTTAACATTTAACTTAGTGCGCCACACATGATATGACACACAGGGCATACAAGTTAAAAACTGCACCTGTCTTAGGGTTTTATTATATTATATATAGAAAATAACTATTGTCTTATTAGACAATAGTTATTTTCTTTATATAATATAATAAAATTATATTATATATAATAGTTATATATAATATAATAAAATTATTATATTATAATTATATATAATATAATAAAGTTATATTATATATAATAATTATATATAATATTTTATATAGACAATAGTTATTGTATGTACAGTGGGCAGCCAAATTATTAGTTTTTTTACAAAAACTACAATTAAATATGAATTTTAAATGAATAAATTTGCTTCTACTCTTACATTCTTGAGATTTTAATATTAATAATAGTTTTCTA